CTGTGTTCTTCTGACTTTCCATTTCAATCTACAATGATAGAAATAAATAAACCTTTAACACCTAAGAGTGACAAGCATATACTTTCTCCCATCAGTAGCACGCCTGAGTCATCCGTTAAGGTTATAGGAATAAAGGACACGATCACGAACTCAAGAAGCTCTTGATTGCTGGAAAAATTCTCCTTGGAAGTACGATAGTTCTACCATACGAAATGCATAGAGACGGGTATGGAGAGCTTCCGTGCTGATGATAGGTTGTAGAGGGTTAAAAGAGAGTACAACATGGCAGGTTGACCTGTTCCAGGCGTTCAGTTAGTAAAACGAAGCACGATGATAAACAGCGCTAAAGTAGCTGAGGAGTTAAAAAACGAGGGGGGCTGGGTAGGGTCACGTAATGAAACGACCAAAACCCTTTTCGCTTTTTCACTCATCTACTTCTATCACGCCGTTTTCTATTTTGCTCCGTTTAACTAACTGCACGCCTGGAACAGGCTAATGGCAGCCGTGACATTGCTCAATATCAATCTGTGAACTGTCAGTTAAAGCAGACAAAATGGTAGGTAAAATCTGTAGATGGCGGTGAGGCGCGCGATTGCTTTGGTCAGCTTTTCAACGACACAGTGCGAACCGGCGCATCGCACCGCTAAAAAGTGCAAACTCCCCTCCTCCCACTTCACTCCCAGCTATCCAGAAGAAAATTTAGGGTACGCGAGATAGACCAGCTTCCCATCAGGTGATGAACATGTAGCTCACAGTTGTTTCACTGGGTTACTCGGCTCGTGCGTGAAACTACATTGAGATAAGTAACTGTTACGTTACGTTACGTGCCATACCTGATCCTCCAAATCTCGTATTTCTCTCAAAATCGATCCCGTTTCCTCTACAGACTGAATCAGCTCTTTGCAGTTCTGAAACACACGAGGATCGCCGAAAATAGGTCAATAATCACACAACATGATACCTCTCGACCATTAACTCCTGAAGCCACTGATGGAACCCCCTCCTGATAGGGCGCATTGTCAACTACCCTTATACAAATTGCCTGAAGAATCCCATCTACAAAAACGTTCTCATGTTATGTGATAAACACAAACTTAAAGGCTTTAACGTTTTCCGACACCGCAACTATTTAGACATAGGAGGTCATGCGCGCGAGTGCCACGCCTCTCGCGTGACAGCTGTCTTGAGCGCGTGTTCTTTGCGCACTTGCGAGTACATTCTACTCAAACAACACGGAAACAGTTATTGTAGAGTCTTCACTGATCTCGTTGTGTTTTTTCACCCGTTTCTCAATTCATAAAGAGTTCGAGGTTACATGTCATGAGAGAGTTCTCGGAACTTATGCAAATCCTGGACAGCGTCTTGGGTTGATACAATATTAAATAATTCACCCACCCCTCCCCCCCTCCTCGGGCCAACCCTCTCTGCAGTGTTCGGATGCGGCTATGTAAACACGAAAAAACAATCCCCTTAGGCTAAATTCTATAAAGCCTTTATCGATACAAAAGTACTTTGACGAAGAAAAAGTAATGAATGATTTAAGTTTACCTCGTGCAGACTAGCGAGATATTTATAAGCCTTGCGACAGGACTCGTCTTTTTTGGCATCCTGCAGAAGAACAGGTGGAAAACAAATCTTATTAAACGACAGTGTCACTTCCTAGATTCTGATTAGCTGTAAGCACGCTGCTTCTTCAAGCAGGCGTTGTTTTCGTTACGTCATACCCGCAGACATTATACCAAAAAATACTGCGTCGTACTTGAAGAAAATAGTTTTAAAGCGTGCATAGTAAAAAAAAAATATTGTATTCAGCTTTGGAAGGATATCAAGAACCATCAAGGCCCGGGTTTTTTGCTTTCGACTTCCGTAGATAACACTGATGAACCTTAGCCTTGTACTTATACTCCCATGAATGACCAAGACAGAATTTCTCCTTACCATACCAATACAATATCAGGAAGACAAATGACGAGAATAAACGAAAATATAAATTAAGGGATCATTAATTGATCCAATACAAAATTCTCCGAACTCACACCAAAAAAGTCATATGGCAGAAAGTAAGGAGAGTTACCAATGAGATCTTGGAGGTGAAAGGGTTAATGATTCATGCTGAATCTCATCCAGCATTGTCAATAATTGAGCAAATTTAGCGATGAAATCCAAAGCTCTTATTACGAACCATCAAAACTGACTAAATATGAACATTTTTTTTGAGATCCTGCATTCAATTCAATCTGCAGGGAAATGACAGCTGATTTAACAAGCCACATCAACATTTTTCTTGTCGCACCTGAATATCTGCTACTGAAATATAGTCGTGAATGACCGCTCGCGAATGAAAATGAATGGGAAACAATCTAAACTCTCTCAATAAAAGCAGTTGCTTTTCTCTGAATTCTTCTAATTGATTGTATGGTCTTCATCCCGCCACAAAAAGCAATCTCAAACTACAAACCCTAAAAATAAGTTCATCCGTGACGGCAAATGTTCGGTCCAGCTTCCCAGATAACTGATTGATTTCCTTTTGAAGATCTTTCGTGTCGATCAAAGTCTACAGGAAAAAGAAAAATTCAAACTACTCAATGAAAACGATAAATTAAATCCTTGGTCACTGATAGGAGATTAAAAAAACGCCTCAAAGGAGTTTCAAATGACTTTCAAAACCAAGCTTATTAAGATATTGAGCGTTTTTCGAAAGAGTGAAGTAGAATCAGAAGCAATTTACCACGGCCAATAAAAACGAAGAAGGCAGGAAAACATGAGGGTCTAATTCGCGATTGGCTTTGGTGCTCCAACTGATTGGTCAAACAATTCGCACGTGATTTTTAGGCCAATCACAGAGCCTTTCAATTTCACATTGAGCCAGTAAGAATTCAGGGTAGAAAACAACAAAATGCCCGGCTGAAGCGCGGGAAAACGCGACGGACCAAGTCGCGTTTAATTACGTTTTGAATCTGATTAGCCGAGTAGCTGGAGCGAGGTTTGGTGACCAATGATTGAGCTTGGTACACTAAAATCAAAGCAAACCTGGAGTATATTCAACAAATTGAAAATTGTTTTACCTTGTTAATTTCTTCTTTCTGTTTTTTGATGTTTCCTACAATTTCCAATATACGCCGAGTGTACGCGGACCTGTTGACATCTTTCCTCATCGTCTCATATTCAGCAATCTTCAAAAGAAACAAGAAATGTTTTCAAATACAAGGAAACACTCGACCTTTAGTCGAAGGTGGTCTGTTCCTGATCTTTGTTTGGCTCTGAGTACCACGCTGTGAAGTGTACTTAAAACAGTGATACTGAAAGAAATGTTTCTGAAAAGCTTCAGAATTATTCACATTTAGATCGCTAGTGTAGCGAAGAAAACTATTGACTGGGATGCTAGAAACATTGTCGAAGGCAGATGAAAAACCACTTAACCGTATTACCAGCTGTTTATGCAGTTCTTCTTTCCCTCTGGCTTCATCTGCAACTTCCTTCATTTTTTCTCGAAGAGATCTAATCTCTTCCAATTGTTTTTGAGCTTCAGACTGAAATCAAGAAACCAAAAACAAAGAAAAAACAAAGCAAAGCACATTAAGAAAAATGAACAAGCCAATGCAATTATTTTCTAAGAATCAATCACTTTTAGCAGTAAAATCCTTAAGCACCAACTGAATGTCAGTGTCATGTTAGAGTGATTATTTGTTCGCCTGGAGCGAAGCTGAGGGGTTAATGCTGTGAATTTAACGACACCTGTCTATGCTTTAAAGGCGATAGAGCCCTTTCCAATTACGTTTGTGGACGAAAACCAAAACCCGCGAAGTAATCACATCGCACACAAGAGGTATAGCCATGCAGAACACAGGAATGTATTACAAGAAGCCACTGAGGGTTGAGACAGTGGGTCACACACGAGTGGTCGGCTTCAAGCGCGGGAAAAAGCGAGGAATGAAGACGCGATTGGTTCTTAAATCTGATTTGTTAGAATGGTGACACTAGAATTGTAGACCAATCAATGCAACACTGAATTCGTTTGGACACTCAGCTATCAGTAGGTAAAATTTATCACTTCATTACTTACAGGAAAAAGTAGAGCTTCATCTTGTAAATCTGTTTATCGCAAACGTTACACAAAGGAGTCTCACAAGTCCTTTATGAAGATTCAAGCCCATAACCTACTGAAATGCGATCATCTACGGCTGTGGTTCGCTTTCTTGCGGTTACTCAACTTTCACTTTGTTTTCACATTATTTGGCGACTAGGTCGCACACGAATACCAAAGAAATGAAAAGTCGCATACAAAAGATGGAAAATACTAACCGCTCTGTTGGCATTGAGCTGTTTCAACTCCCTATACTGATCAATCAGAGGAGCCCTGTGTTGCTCCCACTGCTGAGCCAAGTTCACAAGTCGCTGCGCACTGGAATCTACAACACTCTAGAAATATGAATTTAAAATAATTTTTAGTCAAAAAAAAAAGGGGGGGGGGAAGGGATGGTTATTAAGGCCGATAAAGACAGGGAATAGGAGAGGACTAGTCTGTTTAAAGGCTTGGTACTTTCTCTTGGATCATCGCCCAATGCACGAGGGAAATGAGAGCAGCTAGCGTTATAACAAATGCGAGTGGGGGATGGGGTTTGGGAAAGAGAAAATGAAAACTCCGTGAACCTTCTCCAGATTAAGTAAAATTTCCTGAACGGATTATTCCTCACTGCTCAATCTCGCGCTTGAATGAATGAATGAATGAATGAATGAATGTGTATTTATATACCGCACATATCACATACTGTCTCAAGGCGGTTTACAATTCTAATTGAGTGAGATCAAACGTCAGCTTGTAAAGGCGCCTCTGGCTGCCGCTATCAGTCCATATTTGATCTCACTCACCCACCCAGCCCATGCCTGAAATGTACAATGAAACAACAGATAGACCACCACACCGGGAACTACGTCCCCTACTCTTTTCGACAAGTGTGTGGGTTCTTTAACGTCCCCTGCTGACCATGTAACACTGAAGATGCAGGAGACGGGGCCTACGGTTTATAGTCCTTATCCGAGAAGACTTGAATGTCTAACCATTTGCTGGTACAATTACAAAGGCAGCACATTCTCCTCAGTTATTTTAAGACCCTGAGTGTTGGTCCGGTCTGGGGCTTGCCTTGCGCTTCCTCGCGAAATTATGAAAGGAAAATGATTGTGGGCAAACTAGGAAAGGGGACGCAATGGGAGGGGAAGTAAATAAAGAGAACTGGACAAAACGGTATACACCCGGAAAAAAAAATTTTTTTACATGAATTGAACTGAATACCTGTAGTTTAGCGATGTTGTTCTCTGCATCAGGCAGCAAGTCCATTGTTCTTTTCTTCACTTTGTAAAATTCTTCCTGCTCAGAGTTTTTGGTCTTCTGACTGGCGATCTGTTCATTTGCCTGAAATAAAATCATCCACGTCACCACCTCGCATTTTTCAACGCTTTTTGCGTATTGATCAACCACCATAAATACTTAAACTTGATACGTTTTTATCGTCATCGTTGGAATCGTTGTCATCGACATTGATATGGCTATCTGGATTTCTATAGCGCCATAGGCGCTATAGATAAGGGTAAGTTTCTTAAGAAACTGTGGTGCTGCGTCGGTGGGAGAGTATGACAGGGTAACTTAGTATTATCTATTGAGCTGATAACGTAAATTGGCCACCGTAAAGAGTTTCAAAGCTGACGTTCGAGCGTTAGTCCTTCGTCAGAGCGAATTACAAAGTGCTAACGCTTAAAACATCAGCTTTGAAACTCTCCACGACGGTCAATTTACGTTATCAACTCAGTTGATAAAACTAAATTACCCTGCTCTACAACTTGAGCTAATTAGGGGGCGATTAAGTTTTTTTCTGCTTCTTAAGTGGTGAATGATCAGTTACTGAGCCCACCTGTTGTATACCAGCTAGAGACTTCTTGATCTCCAGTTCATCGCGTTCGATGCCAGCACTCAGTTCACCCAGTTTAGATTGCAGCGCTTCGAGTTCCTCCTCCCTTTTTTTCCTCATCTCCTACTCATAAAATAACAATAATAAATCAGTAAATCAATAAACACAACAAAAATAAATAACAGTTTCTGAAGGGAACAGTGAATACCCTGGCACTGATTTAATGCGATCTTGGTGTATGGATCAATCTGATTGGTCTGTTATCTCGTAAATGATTTGAACCGAAGGGTAACACTTGATATAGTAGTCTGATCGTCCGGGTGAGGCTAGTCCTGAGAAGAACTGTTGTCGGTAGTGGTGACTGACGTCTCCATACCTGAGCGCAAGTCGTCACCACAAGAGTCAGGTGAATAGTTTTTGTCAGTACAAACGCGTTTGGTTTAAACCGATTTTTCAGTTTGGCCGTGATTTTGTTGGATGTGAGACTCAGGTGGTGTCAGTTGGACGTGACTGATCAGTTTCGATCCTTCGGTAATGCTAGGTCGTTCTGGTAGGTCGTACATTCCCAAACAGATGAAAAATTTGTACGCTTAAGAGCAGAAAACAAACTCGATAGTGTCAACTGACATTTTGTTAAAAAGGCTGTCTAAAAAAAAGCGAGCAACTAAGGTTGACCAAAGAGTTGGCCATGACAGGAAAAGAATCTTGACGTGGGACAAAACACACAGTAGCCATTTTACACTCGGCACCATATGCTTCACCTCTTCTGTGTCCACTTCAGGAGGACCTTCCTCAGTGAGTCCTACCATGGCAGCAGCCTTTTGTTCATCCTGAAAAAAAAAAGGTACTCATAAATAAAGACAAGAACAACAATCTCCTTCAAGTTCAACAAAGCAGATTACTATTGATTAGTACAGCAAGTGAACCACTAATTATTTAAAGCTGTAATCCATACTTTTCTTTTTTAGTTCTGAGATCAATCACTTTCTTGAAAAGGAATTTCAAGTTAAAGGGTAACCTTACTTGTGCAAACTGAAGTTGTTCAGTGTGAGTAAATCTTGATCCTTTAGAAGGTGCAGAGGAACCTAAAGCTTTGTCTGTAAGATATGAAAAAAATGCAAGTTTAAAACAAAAGTTCTGTCAATAAACCCTGCAATGTCCGAAGACTCTTCTCAGAAATTGATAATCACACTTTTAAGGTCCAAGTGATATATAATCTGACACAAAATGTTTGCTGGTGAATAAATTTATTTAGTTGAAATCAACAAATTGTTTAATGCAAGGTTCTATGCAGATTCCTCTTAACTTGCATAAATAATTTCTGGGAAATAAATAATTTCTGGGAAATAAGTAATTTCTGGGAAATAAGTAATTTCTGGGAATCAATTAATTCCTGGGAATTAATTAATTTCCCACCTTCCAATCTCAACTCATTTAAATATATAGTAGTTGATAGCAATTTTTTTTCTCATGAAATGATCCCAGACTCAAATAGTTCTTGATTTTTTCATTAAATCCTTCTTATTAGTTCCATAGGTAACATATAGAGAGCTGTATGTATGAAGAATATACATATACTGATGTTAAGGTGTAAAGAGTTAACCCTTTAACTCCCAAGATTTCATTCATAATTCTCCTTACTGTCTACCAAACAATTTATGTGGTGTTAGTTTGGAGAATTTTGAATTGGATCAAGTAATAATCCCCTGATTGATATTTTTCTTTTTTCTCATTACTTGTCCGCTTGATATCATGTTTATAGTGTAAGGAGAAATTCTGTCTAGGTCACTACTGGGACTTTAAGGTTAAACTACCTGAAAGGGATGAAACAATGTCACTGAGGTCACCACTTGCTGCAGCTTTCAGGTCAGCCCTCTGCAGCTCACTCTGTAAGTGCTGTTTGATCTTCTTCTCCAGACGCTCCCTCTTCTGAGCAAGGTATTCCTAAATTTAAGTTATCAGTCAATTGGTGAGTTAAAGTATTTTCATCAAGATGAACCTTTCATGATAAAATTGGCTAAGACAATTTGTACAGAGGTAACAAGAAAATAACCAGAAATTCCAAAATCCATACTTTGTAGGGAAGTTGAGGAGAATTATTTTTTGAGGGATGATTATAGACAAGATGTTAATTCTGCAATATCAGATAGCATGGTCAAATTAAATGGCACAGGCAAAATTTTTGTTGCAATTCCTCAACAGTTTTGCCCGTAAGCATTGACAGACTCTTACAAGGAGAGAAGATGCAATTTTCATGGCCAAGAACACATCAGGGTGACCTGGGCTAAGATAAGAACAGACCACAACATTTTCAGGTAGAGACAGGCATTTGCTAGACATCTTTCCATACCTAATCACCCACAAAACAGATCAGTAGGCTCACTATCAAGCCACAAACCTCTTTAGACAGCCGTGATGCTAATCCACTTTGATTCCATTCATTTTCCCATTCATTGGCTAGAGTGACAGATATGGCATTGGCTTCTAACACAGATGGTGCAACATCTTGGCGGCAAGATGGCTGGCTTGTAATGAGTGGCATTGAGTTGCTATAGTAAGCTTTTAATTCTGGAAAGATCAGTAAAAAGAGATAAGACACTCAGTCAATTGTAAGAACATAACACTTCAACTCATAAGAGAGATACACACACAAATTCTCCAGTACATACACTATAAATCCATATCCTCAAACAAGCAGGCCAAGAGAAAAGACAGCTGGAGAATGTTACCTTCATTGATATGAAACCAAATTATCTAAACTGATTTAAAGGGATTATATTGTGGCCAGGGAGAATCATTGATCTGATCAAGAGCTACAGATTGAGGAGCTATAACAGTCACCTCTTCTATTCATTCCTATTAAGAACTCTGTTATATCCATGTTAATTCTTAATTTTTTCCTTTTTCAACACTTTGGTGTATGTCTAGCCAAGCAAACTGTTATACTTAACTAATAGTTTTTTTAAGTTCTCTAGGATGCTAATACAGCTCAAAAAGTCTCTTGTTGCTTTTTAACAGCATCACTTACAAAGGCAGAGTTTGTTTACCTTCAGAATACTGGATTCAGAATAGATGACAAAACAAACTATTTATAACAATTTACAAAATACAATTATATTAACCTTTAGGAATTTTCTTGGTTAAATCTCCAAGACCCTCTGGTACTCTCACAGGGCAAGCATGAAATCTCCGCACAGATCTGGCTCCCTTTAAAATATTATAATGATTATTAGACATTAATGAGTCTCACTGATACAGTTATGTAGAGTGGTCTGCAAGTTTTTGAAGTACACTGACAGATGCAAGTTACTTATCAAGATTTTTACTTAATCTCAACTGTTTCCTAGGCTGTTTCTCCAATTCATGTCCCTTCTTGAAGCCACCACCAGTACCATTTGCCAGCTGGCAGCTCTTGTACATAATACAGAAGGACTTTTCAAAGTGTCACCCTCATCAAGGCCCCCTGCATAACTTGCTTTGATATGAATAAAAGGGGGGGGGTACATTCCTAAAGAAACTGTGGTGCTGCCTTAGTGGGAGAGTAGAAAAAGGTAATTTGGTAAAATCAACTGAGCTGATAACATAAATCAGCCCCTGTTAAGAGTTTCAAAGCTGGCATTTCAAGCATTAGCCCTTCTTCAGAGCATTAATGACAAAGAGCTAATGCTCAAAATGTCAGCTTTGAAACTCTTAATGGTGGCCAATTTATGTTAGAAACTCAGTTGATGATACCAAATCGCCTTATTACTTTATTAACATGAACAGGATCGAGACTACTGTTGGGACAATAAGAGAAGTCTGTTAATAAAAATGATTGTACCTCTTTGTGCCAAGCTTGGGGCTTAGTTCCACTCCAGCTGATGCTGTCCTTTTTGCAAAATGAAGGAGTCCAAGGTCTCTTAAGCCTCTTGGACAACTCTACTGATATTCGCCTTTGTAACATTACAGATGAGCCTGGGAAAGCATATATAAACACAGCAAATCAGCAAAATAAATTCGCAAACTGTGGTAAAAAGTGGATAAAATGCTGGGGAGGAGTGGGTAAACCTCTTACCGACTGGTTTCTAGGGAGATAAATATACACTGTACAGTCTCTTAGTCACTTTATGCAACTAATAACATGATTTAGTATATACTAAAACAGTGGATAGCATTGACGGCATGCCCTAAATGGTTACTCAGACTTGGTGTATCCTTTTCTATTCTCTCTCTGACACTCGTGCAGGATTTGCAGCCGAAAATATTGTAATTGTTGCAGGAATAAATGAGTTAAAATAACTTTTTTGCCCTATATTATCTAACTGATTCAGTATAATTATACTAACACTACTATTCACCTCAGTGCCAGTGGCTAGTGGTGGATATCTATCTCACTGCTTCACAGCCCAGTTAATATCAACTTTTACTGAATAGTTGTTAAATGTAAGGTCTAACAAGATGGACCTTCTTTGTAAAACAAATGAAATACCTAAAGGTTCCCCAGCTGATTCTGAACTCTCTTTTGGAAGATGCTCCACCAAAAACATAAACAATTTCCTGATATCAGCTTCGTTGGAATATAGAAAGGTCTGATAGCCAATCTCGCCACGGTATCCAACTTCCTACACAAATGAATTTATGAAAATAAAATTAAGAAAAGTAATAAAGGAAATTAAAGTTGCATCAACAAAACAGTTTCAATAAAAATGACTGTGGGAGAGAGAAAGTGCTCAACAATGCCAGAGAAAGTATTACTGTTTTCAGTGACATCTGCAAAGACTTGATAGGTATAATAAAACAATAGAGGTTAGATTCGCAGGCATAAATATGTTTCAGGACCATCTCAAAGTCATTTTAGCCTAAGCTGTGAGGTGAGAGTTAAAATGACTCTTAAAAAGGTCCAAAAACATATTTATACCCAAGAATATGAACTGTATTACTACTATTATGTCTTTGGAGGACAATCAGAAAATAAAAATGACCACAAAGCAGACTGAACATTCATGCAAGCATGCAAACAAGTTAAAATACACTTTAAATGGCCAAAACCTCAATTCAGCCCACGAAAGGAGCCACAAGGTCCTACAAAGGCATAATCATGGTGTTTATAGAAAAATTCAAGAGAATGAAGTTGCTATTTGAATTAAAAGTTTTTAGCAGAAACATTTTGAGAAATCTGACCTACACCAAGTCTGCACTACCAAGACACTTTTCCAAACAATTGTCTTAATTTTCACCCTGTAAGCTATTCATTGGTGGGAAACAGTACAAAAAATTTTAAGGAAATTCAAAATACAACCATATAAATTTGACTTGGGTATGATCTCCCAAGAAAATCATAAAGAAATTTTGATCAGGGTTATTTCTTTCAAATTTTCTGTTGTCAAGGTTATTAAAATTGTGACAGGTTGTATATGAAAAGGATGCTATCAGTATTTTTTTCAGGGCTATACATTGAAAATAACAAAGGAAAAAAGCATAGAAAAATACTTTCCAATTAAACTGTTTCTTGAAATGTAAAATAATGTGCAAATCGGAGAAGAACAGTCTTAAAATTTCACAAACAGTGTAGGTTGATTCATGCACAGACCCTTAAAACTTATGAAAACAAAAACACACCTGACAAGCATTGGCAAGGGTTGTTCCAAGACGGAACTTAGACGACATGCTAGCAGGCAACACAGATGGAATCTGAAGATCTTCTTTGATCATATGAAGACATTTTGATGTTGCTGCTACAATCATGGCTGTGGTAAACTCCTTTAGACTTGAAACATCCTCTGGGATGTCACTATTAAGAGAGTGGAATGTGTTTAAATCACACAGAGGGCTAAAAGTTGGATGTATTTTAAATACAACAGATTCTGCCTTTCCATTGATCATCTCAACCTTGACAAAATGACTACACTTTCTGGAAATTACCCTCCCTGTCGATATCACCCTAAAATCAATATCAGTTTACAAAGCTTAAAATATAAAGCCAAACATGTTTCTGTGAATTTTTGGGCATCTTGTAAGCATCAGTCCCTCTCAAATAAAAGGAATAATAAAATAGTTCTTCACAAAGGGTAAAACTTCAAATCCATATTGTTTGAAGACAAAAAATTATTATGAATCTGATACTCATCTTGCATTTACTGGCCTCGTTTCTGAGCAAAATTCGTGAGGGAAAATGTCTCGAGAGGGAGGGGGAGTTGTTTCATTTCTAAGTGTTTCCAGGAGGAGGGGCAGGTCATCAACGAGGGCACTATTTAAGGCCCATAAAACGGTAAAGTTTCCTATAGTTTTTAATACATACATGAACTTATTAACTAGCTTATGATCTTTATGATTCGGTATAGTGGTCTATTGATCTCTTTTGTCTCTCTAAGGACGATATGTATCAAAGCATTTCGAAGGAGGGAGACAGTCACATTGGGGATTATAAACTAACGATCATACAGCAAGTTTCGGAGCACAACAAGTTTAAATAAAGGTTTAGCGAGTAAATAACTAAGTTTTCAAATTATCCAAGGGACAACCGAAGAAACAAACAAAACTTTAACCGTACCAGCCGACTTGTCTGAACGTGTGAATAATTATGTTGTCCACCTCCTCCATCTTGGAATTTATCTCTATTCTCCCGCGGGACTTGGGTTCTAATTAGTTTTCATTTCTTTCCCAGTCTACTCTCTGCAAAATTTGGATTGCGCGGATCGCGCGCTTGTAAAATTATTTTGTTGTTATTTTGATCACGGTAACTACAACACAAACTTCAGACGCTACGTAAAAGTTTTAAATAAATGACTACAGATATCGCTGAGATATTCCACATCGCAACCGATTGGCATGAGAAAATTTTAATCAAACGGCTGATGATTCATTGCGCTTTGTGCCCTAGGGGGCCCGTTTCTCAAAGGTCCCGGTTATTTTGATCACGGTAACTGCAAAACAAGCTTCAGTTGTTGCGTGAAAGCTTTAGATGGCTGACCACAGATGTCGCTGAGATAATTCACATGGCGACCGATTGGCATGAGAAAATCTTAATCAAACGGCTGATAAATTATTTTACACTTTGTGCCCTAGGGCCCGTTTCTCGAAGATCCCGGTATCTTAACGGACCCGTAATTTAAAGCTGTTTTCATTCAAGATTGGGGGTTTCAAAAGTTTTAAAATTATACAATTAAACTTTAAGGAAAAAAAGCAGAATGTAACAGTTATGATGCAGGAACCTGCTCCTCTATTTTTAAATTGTGATTTTAAAATATGCCTTCGGGCTCATAAGTTACTCGGGGACCTTCGAGAAACGGGCCCTTGGTTAAAAACTGAACGGCATGAAACCCTCACAAACAAAAGACGAGAAATTAATGGGTCACGCTGGAGTTTTAAACATGCACTGAAAAGCGTAATTTCAAGGGGATGTAGGAAATTCAACGACAGTTGTCGGTGGTAGGCTACTTCTGCGGGGATTCACGCTGATTCACGCTGGCGAACCAAGGAACGAATGGTCTTCTATTTTTAATTGCGAGTGTCAGAAATCAGCGGGACGTCTTCAGTTCCGTTTTGAAAACGCTTTCTGCTCGGAAGAATTACGGCGGTATCCTTCATATTTTTAAAATTATAAGAAAACACATTTTAAACGTCATTTCCTTAAAAAGTGTTTCTTATTCGCTCAGCGAGAGGTCTGAGGTCTAGTGGTCACTGCTGTTATTTATAGTCACGGTCATGTCACGGGAAACATCTTGGTGGCGAGGATTTTGACAAAATGAGTATGAAAAATAACCAACAAAGGACTGCCTCTTTGGAAATATATCTACGTGTTTCTCTCACCCCTACCCAGCGTAAGAGGAATGTCTCTTGGAATACTTCCTATTTGCGAAACGCTTGTTCCAGTCTCTTTTTTCACTTATGCACATTGTCTTTCCCGCCGAGTAACACCTGTCTCAGGCCTACCTTCACCACCTGAAAGCGATCTGCCATAACGTAACTAACTTGCGCCAGGTTTTTGCCACTTTGTGATAAACTGTCCGGATGAGAGAAATGATTTCATTGTACGCATCAAATTTGGTCGAACGACATTTTGGCTCTTACCTAGTGTAGAAGACACAGTATACGTCAAAATAGAATTTCATCAGAGCCGAAAATAAGAAAACAACGAAAAAGATAGTATACTGACGTATACTACTTTTCTACACCAAGTAAGAGCCGATATTTTGAGCGCATATATTCGCCGTATCTTTAAAGATTTGTTGGCATTCCTTCCGTGACTGAAGAGGTCACGCGACAGTGTAGCAGTGGCAACTAGACCTCAGACCTCTCACGCGGCGCTTGCGGTTCTCGGGAAAAAACCATGCTGTACCGATGGCAGCAGTTCGTCTTATTGCAAAACGGATTTGTTTACGTTTGACTGTTGAGAAGACATGATTTGGACCGCTGTTAGAAGGAACAGACTCCTTGTGTTTGTGATCATCGTTTTGTGTCCGCTGATGTATCATTTTCTTTTGGAGAGAGAACGTAAGTTATTAACGTTTATCCGTCTATGCATTTCTGTCACTAACGTGCACTTTTAACATAGTTTTTCGACGTGTCCTCGGCCTATGCAAATAGGCCCAAGTTGGTGATACGATCTGAGTTGATTGCGCTAGATAATTTGCAGAATTTCAGGATCAAATTAAGATTGAAATCAATGGTAGTGCTAATGCATACCCGCTCGCCAGAACTCGCATAGGGTAAGTCTCTCCAAAATGATCTCCTATGCTGAATTTGAGTGCTCTAAACGGTTATTCTCAATGTTGTTGTTAATTGGAGAGTTCTCCCTCACCAAACATTTGTCCCTGTCGTTTTGTTAGAGTAGTATTCAAGTTAGGTACGACTGCTTCATAAATGACGGCGGAACTCGTTACGCCGGTAATCGTTTTTCACGATCTCTTAGAGGAAGGCCGATTATTGTTCGATTCGATTTTTTTCTGTCACAGAACGGTTTAGTTGTTCGAAAAACTGGGAGAGCATCTGGAGTTTCGCCCCACCGCATTAATATTTCAAACCATACATCAAACTCTAAATTGTGTAGTTTAAAACAGCGCTCAGTTAACCAAAATTTTCACCCACAGTCCTTGGCTTTTTTACATTTAACAATCACCTAACTTAAGGGTCAAAGATTCCTTTCGGGAACAGAGATATTGAATTTGAACCTGAACGAGAAATTCATTTTTGTTTATCGTGATATTCATACATGTTTATTTGAAAATAAAGCTTTGAAATAACAGCGTGTACTTAGATTCTCAAGACAAAAGTTTCATCATTATTTTTACCATTTTCAACTATCCACTACGTGGTTTTTAAAAAGGAAGATATCGTCAAAATTTTTGTCCTTGGGGAAACCACTAATTGGCTCACCTTCGATATGATTTGGTGCTGTTTTATTTATGCAGTTAATCAAGGAAGCTCGGTTGTCAAGGCTGGATATTTTCATAAACATAATGTACCTGTTTTAAAATTTACTGAAACACTCAAAAATGATAAAAATTATGTATGGCAAATTGTGACGACTTCCACTACATTGTTATTTAAAAACATATTTTAAACATGCTTCTTACAATAAGAAATGATTGTTTTTGAATTTATAAAAGCTGTGTAAATTTAAGTGAATACAAATTTCTTTATAGCATTTGCTGATAAAAATAATAGGAAATCTTGGTTTAAAGGGTGTCTCAGACTTCCCACGTTATGTCCAGTTAGTGAATTACTTTAATCAGGAAATAGATTTATTATCTCAGAAATTGAAAGCACTTTACTTTGCTAGGTCCTTCTTAGATACATGTAGTGAATTACTTAATTTTTTTACGGCAATTATATTGTTAAATATGTACATGAAGAAGAATGGTTTATTCATCTGTCCTCACAGGTATGTGGTAAACTGATAAAGCGTTTTTGTAGTTGATACAGCCTTAGCAATAGATAATGCTTTCTAGGAATGTTTTCACTAATTATCATTTTGGGAACAAATGTTAAGGGAAAATGCAATTCTAAAGAAATATTTTTCCCCTAAGGGAAGACAGGTGGTATGAAAATTTGAAGATATACAATACAATTTATTTATGCTGCAGAAAGTACTTGTAAAACTTGCAGTATTTGAGATAAGAATGATCCCAGCAAAGCGTCCACAACACCATAATTACAGTTTCGAGAATATTTGCCTTTTCTTTTCACAGTTTTGGCTTAAAATTTAAGATTATGAATAGATAAAAAAAAAAAACAGTCTACATTCTTCTGGAATGTATTAAGCACCACTTGCAGGACACACCAGTGAAATAATAAAAGAGTTTTATGTCCTGTTTGTATGGACGTGTGGCTTTCTTTAGGAGTGACTATTTTTCATGCAGTTAAATGCAATTTAACAGAGTTGGCAACAAAGAACATCAGTGTTCTCTAGTAGTCAGTGGTTTTTGCATATGTCCGAATTATATGAGTACTTCATTTAAGGCCTTCTTGCATGTGCTTTGAGTGTGAACTTTCAGCATTGTTTGGAGTGGTAACTTATTATCCTCTTTCCACTGTTTATTCAGTGTGACATGTGTCTGTTTCCCTTTCTTGCTTGGGAGCTCAAGGCTGGGTTGCTAGGATTTACCAGCCATGGGAGCAGTCTCCATCTAGGAGCTAGCTGCCAATAGTGGAAGCTCCTGGATGTTTCAGGCACCCATTCTCTACCTAGCAATGCAGTTTTAAACAATTGTAAATGGAATGGTTGCAAATTGTAGAGCTTATGATGATGCAATGATAAAAATTTGGTACAGAACAGACTCTGGTGCTCTCACATAGTTATCAATAATAATTATTTGTCTCTGAAATTAATGATAAAATTAAATTTATTGTGTCATATTAAAATGTATCCTGTATACTTGTCTACTTTTATAGCATTTGATTCTGTTCTTATTTAAGAATTAGGCCAGTTACTTCGGCCATTTTTTAGACATAAATCAATCAAGTTCAAACAAAAATTGGATCAATATCAGTATCTGGGCAACTGCCCACCTACCCCTCCCCTGACCCAACATCAACATTAACTTGTTTTCAATTGACTGTTGTTGAGTTAGGGGAGGGGAGGGGTAGGTGGGCAGTTGCCCAGATACCAATATTGATCCCAAAAATCACACTGAACATGATTAATAACCAAGCTGGCAGGAGGCAAGCTTATTAACTTTTTTTTAAGGGTGGCTGAGAAGTTTACATTTGGTTCTCTTGGAAATAAATCTTGCAAATCAAACCTAACATGATTAAAAATCCCAGCTGATATATAACGAGCTTAGTACAAATTTTATGGAATCAGATGTAATTTGGTTTTATCAGCTGGGTTGATTATGTTAACTGGATGCCAAATAAAGTTTCTTAAGGTGACATTTCTAGCGTAAGCCCTTCATCAGAAAGATTCAATCTAACAGATGAAATTAACAAGGGGAATTTCAGCTTTCGAAACCTCTTAAATATGTGGCCAGTTTTCATTATCACCTCATTTGATATAACAAATTGCAGCATCACAGTTTCTTTAGAAACTTACCTCCTTAACTGTTTCAAGCATAGCTGACATGTTGATTTTTGGTTAACTTCAAAACAGAAAAAAAACAACTTAT